AGCCTGGTGAACAAGGGTATTCCTTGTTAGCTTGGCAAGACTGATAAACCAGGCTTTACCAGGCTCTTAAAGTGAGTCAATAAACCAGGTTATCCTGGTATACCAGGGTTTTTCTGGCAAGCCTGGTTTCTTATTCAATAACCAGAAAGACCACGCTAAACCTGGCTCTTGAAGAACTGAATTAACAAGGGTTTAACCAGGCTTGAACCAATTTAGAAAAATTAGTCTGGTTAAACAGGGTATTCTTAACAAATCTGGTAAATCCTGGTTCCCAGAATACCTTTGAGAACAAGCTATACTAAACAAGTTTCAATCAAGCCTTCCCGTCTTTTAAAAAAAATGTAGCACGCGCTGTGGTTAAGCATATACAGGACACTAAGCAACTGTAGAAATAAGAATAAGGCGGGACAAGACATGGTCGTTTTAAAGGCGTTACTGAGCTTATAAATTTTAATTTTGGATCTAGAAGATATGCCTATTTTTTATAAGAATCCTGAAATAAAAAAAAGCGTAAATTTTTTCCTGTACGCATGACTTACATAGCTTAAACTATACTCACTGCATGACTACTACCCTTCCAACTGCACTGTACTATCGTGCTGTACGCCTATGCATGATTTTGTGATCAAGAAACGGCTGAATTTTTTCAGCACCAAATGGTTTTGAAATTTAAAGAAATCCCTATATTTCGAAGAGGTGCAGCGCTGCACGCGTTTCAGATTGAATACCGAGAAAAGTATGTAAATACATTTCGCGCCAGTTGGGATGCGTGTCCAAGAACCAGACAAGTAGCTACAAGTCAGAAATGCAAATACTTTTCGAGAGTTCTGACTTGTATTATGAGTTAACCTTTTTGATTGTCTCAAAGTAGTACACCCCCTCCTCCATCTACCTACACTCCGTTTCTTACGGCAATGTCACATCCGCAATCTGAATCTCTCTCGGGGGGAGTATGGATTATTAACAACAGTTTGTTTAAAGCTGATGCGTGCCAAAGCATAGCTGCGGTATTTTACCCTACTTGTATTTCAGTTTCAATGTTCAATTGTTAACTGTCATAGCACACATTAAGTTTTTTCTTTATTTCTTAGATTATTAATGTTTTAAACTGAACTTACAAAGAGCTTCAGGTGCAATTTTTAAGGTCTTTTGCAATCATTAAATATTTATTTTCCAAGGTCTGAGTAACGCACAAGATCTAGGTAAGCTAAGGTAACAATTAACGCAACTTCCTGAGCTTGAGAGATCAGGACTGTATTGCCATGTTTGGTCCAAGTATCACGTTTTTGCACCCAGGGATCTAGCTTAATTTAAAAGCAATCAGTGAAGTTTTATTGGTATAAATGTGCTCCAAATAACTAGCTCACTAGTTAGTTTGTATTGTATATTGGGAATCGAAGAAATAACCACCATAAGCTTAAGCTGACCAACAAACCAACATAGGTATTCAAGAAGGGAATACATGAAAACTAATCGACGATCAAGTTTACGTGTGGAGTGCACTTATGAACAATATACTGGACGAAGTGGCACCTGTGAAAAAAATGCGTGTGCGTGATAAAGATGTGCCCTACATGACGTCTCATTGGAAAAGTGCGATTAGAGCTGAACGCAAAGCAAATGACAAGTACTTGAAAAACAAAACGCCAGAAAATTGGGACTTACGACGTAAAGCCAGAAACGAGGCAACTAAACAAAGAAGAATCGCCATCAAACAGTACTGGTATAATAAGTCAAACGATTTGAAAAACAATCCCAAGGCGTTTTTCAAAACTTTCAAGCCATTTTTGGGCTCTAAGAGCTGTACTGAAAGAAACGACATCCACTTAAAAATAAACGGCAGTATGATAACGGATCAATAACAAGTGGCTGAGGAATTGATTGAGCATTTTGCTACCTTGGCGGATGGCATTGGCGGTACAGCAATTGAAAGAAAGTCAATAGAGGACTTTAGAGACCATCCTTGTGTTCAGAGGATACAATAAGAAAATAGGAATTCCACTCAGACCATTGAAATCGAATCGGTTACACAGGGTCAAGTCCTTGCAGCTCTCGTTTCGCTGAACATAAACAAAGCCACCGGCACTGATGGAATTCCTTCAAAGGCTTTAAAAACAGGTGCTAATGAATTATCCGCTCCACTATCCACCTCGTTCAATTCTTGTATAAACAAGAATGCATGGCGTAGTGAATGGAAATATGGGCATTGGGCCCCAGTATACAAAAAGGATGACAGGAATGCAAAGGAAAACTACCGGCCCATAACTCTCTTACCATGTGTAAGTAAAGTTCTTGAGAAGTTGGTTGGAGCGCAGATCAACTCTGGCTTTGGTAATCGCATTTACCAAAACTCATCCGCTTATCGCAAAGCTCACAGCTGCGAAACAACATTGATCAATTTAGTAGAACATTGGAGACTAGCGAGGGATCGAAGACAGGTTGTGAGCATACTTTCAACTAACATGTCAAAGGCATTGGACTCGTTACACCCACCACTACTTCTGAACAAGCTTGAAGCGTACGGTTTTCAGGAAAGCGCTATTCAACTTTAAACAGCTATTTAAATGAACGGAAATATCAAGTAAAGATCGGCCGTCATGTTAGTTCGAGCCGATTCGTGAGTCGCGGCTGTCCTCAGGGTTCCGCGCTTGGCCCGTTGTTATGGAATGTTTTCCAGAATGACCTATCCTACTGCCTAACAGCGAACTTGTCTATGTATGCAGACGACCATCAAATTTACCACGCAGGAGCAGACCAGGCAGCTGTGACTTCCCAGTTAAAGGATAGTGCCAACTTGGCAACAACGTGGTATGATTCTAACTTATTGGCGGAAAACCTCCAAAAGTACCAAGTTTTGAACTTGGGCTTCACTCAAAATGACAGCAATATTTGTGTGAATGATGTTGTAATTGAAAGTAAAGATAATATCATACTTCTAGGAGTAGTGTTAGATTCTAAGCTAAATTTCTCTAAGCATATAATTTCAATCTGTAAAAAAGCCAGCCGGAGAATTGGTGTTTTAATGAGACTACGTAAACTAATTCCTATGAAATCTAAGTTAATATTATTCAAAAGCGCGATATTACCATTCCTCACGTACTGTCACCTAGTGTGGCATTTCTGCAAAGCGAGTGACACTCGAAAGCTTGAAAGACTACAAGAAAGAGGACTTAGAGCGGTTTTCAAGGATAATAATTCTAGTTATGAACAACTATTAGAGAAGGCAGATCTGCCCACACTGCTAAATAGTCGCTTACAGGATCTGTGCATCCTTATGTATAAAGTAAAGCATAAACTGCCCTGCATATATAAGTAACATCTTTAGAGAACCAAATAGTAATTACAATCTGAGGCAAGCAGATTTCTCTATACCTAGGTATGAGACAGTCACCTACGGCAAGCACTCTATTAGATTTCTAGGGCCTAGGCTATGGACAAAACTACCCAAGAGTATTAGGGACGTCACAACCCTAATGTCGTTTAAAAGCAAGATACACCAACTCAATATAAGTGAACTTTTAGATAATGGCTACGCAGGCTTTAGCCTTTGTTCATTTTGACTTCTGTATGTTTTACTATAAATCTCGTAATTAGATAACTATAGATATTTTACCTATATACTTTTTAGTTTGTATATTCTCCTAATTGGTGTCGCCAAATTAGTAAGGGATTCTTTTTTCCCTGGCTAGACGGCTTTTGACACTTTAATAAAGTTTCTGTCTATCTATCTATCTGATATACAATCAAGTTGTTTAATCTTTTTAAGTTGTTCTTCTCAGTTATTAGTGTTATTTACGGACTCGTTGAGGCCATACGGTTACGAAACAGCTTTGTAACAGTACAGTTTTCACAGAACTGATCAGTTACCTCCCTTCATGACAAACTATTTATTTAGGAAAACTGCTGTCTTTTTGCATAACTCTCTAAGGCACAGGGGTATCACTACCGCCGTGTCTAAACAGCAACTATACCGTACTACATTCTACTTAATTTCCCAAACGTGTCGATATCGTTTTAGTCAGAGTCGCATGTCGTGTTTGAAACGACATAGCGTGAACGCTGGCGACACTATGCCACCGGGTCCTCTTGATGTTTTGCTTGCTGTCTAATTCTTCATCATTATTTCAGAAAGATGGATTTTATCTCTAAGTAAAACTTAACGAGAAAGGAGGGTATAGTTTTGTCCCATGGCACTCAAGAATCGAAAGGGCTTACTCAATCGTTTGCAGTTGTCTGTAACTGAATTTGTTCTTCGTTAACTCGTGCTCACGTTTCAAAGAAAGTCAATTTAACCTTTCAGAATACCTTTCGCATCCATCATTTCTGCTTAAGCAGTGGAAAATGTCGTAGAGAACGTGACGAGGGGATACTTCAAAACGCGAGGAACAAATTAAAAACCTTTCGCAAAGGATAGAGGTCACCGAAATGTTACCTGTATATTCCAATCAGCATAAAATGTTCTCGATGAGACTCGCCGATTATTTTAATCAATGTTTGTCTCTATGCGCACCAAGCGATCTGCTGATCAGTTCTATGAAAGATAGTTTATAAATCCCGCTTTCCCCGAATTGAAAATTTAACAAATTTTTTATAGTAGTCATCACTTTTATCGACACTAATTAGCTGAGAAGCTTATAAATATAACTACTGATGCCACGATCAATAACATTACTTTCAGTACTTCTTACACCTTTGGCAATCGACATAAATGCGTTTCTGTGCTTAAAATTTACTTTCTATCGAAGAACCTAGCACAGTTGCGTCGTTGTGAAATGTGACAGAACGCTTGCTTAAAAACACCTCTTTTAATCTTATTCCCAGATTAACGAGAGTGATATGGTGGCAACATATGGCATTATCATACTTTGCTTGCGAGTGGGCGAGTGAAAACAAGTGGACGGATTCTGTGTATATATTATCTACTGAATAATCACAAAATATAAACGGTAAGTGGGTCTGAAACAATACCACAGCTTCGTACGGTTCACATTGCTACTTTTTTAATTTTCTGCTAGGGTTTTCCACATTTCAATTAAATCTTCGACGATTTGCTCTTCTGTCCAGCCATGGAGCTCGTCATGCTTCTTCATCACAGCCATTGACTCCGATAGCACCTTTTGACTTAGAGTAGGATGAGCGGTCGTGTTCCTTCTAGACTTGAGCTCTTTCATCCAGGGTTCACACAGTCTTGAAAAGTCCTTGAATTTTAGGGGAAGTCCTTGAATTCCATTTTTCCTTGAAAAGTCCTTAAAGTTCTGTTCAAGTCCTTGAAAAGTTCTTGAATTTTCTTCGACTTTGAATGTAGTAGCCTGGAAAGAGTTTTTTGATGCTTTTTGGTTGTCCAAGACACTAGACAGAATATAAATCATAGCTCAGAGAATTTAAAGGTTATTTATATAAAGTGCTCAATGTTTTATGCATTAATTAACTATCAATTTAAGACAAGTGAACTGAAAAATGTACAGAAGTTGGTGAAGCAAACAGTTAAAGCCTTAAAGTCTTATTAGAATGGACTGGGAATGTGCATTTTTGTACCATCTGTGAAGTTATATTCCTAGGAAGTGGTCCCTGAAAATCTAAAGTGGTCCTTGAAAAATGGTTGCAATTTTCTGTATGAACCCTGTCATCGTTCTTTTATGCAATTTGTCCTCCCACTTCGGCTTCTTCTTGAGTTCAGCCCATTTACGCTCCGCTTCGTTTTTCTCTTCGTCGTCCTTTATTTTTGCAATATCTTCCTCTAAGTACTTAACTAGGTAATTTTTCTTATGATGGTATTTACGTGGAAGAACACTCTGGTACATCATGGCCTGTATTCGTGAGCACATCTCACCCAAATAAAAAGAGGCTTTCTTTATCTCTTGCTCAGCAGGACTCTGTGGTATGTTTTCAGGGAAGGCGGCCCTAATCTGAATCTCTTGTACTTTCTTGATCTCTCTTTTAAGATGCATGTTTTCTGCGTCAGTTTTCTCCATAGCCGAAGCCATTTCCTCCACTTTCTTCGACATTTTTCCTAAGTTTTCTCCCAATGTAGCATTTAGTTCTTGATTGGACTTGTTCTCCTCTTTCAACTTTGTTACTTGCTTTCTCACTGTTGTAAGTTCAGCTTCAACAGAATTCAACTTTGTCTCCAGGTCTGTCTTGTCGAGTTCAAGCTCTTCTATTTTGTCTTCCAGTTGCTTAATTTTCTTGTCTTTCCATTCCAAACTAACGTTCAGTTCTTTATTTTCTAGCATAAGCTTTTTTACTTCCTTGTCCAGTCGTAAAATTTCCTCATCCTTTTCCAGTATTTTCGTTGTGAGTGACTCGATTTCCTCACTATGGCGTACACTTTGTGGAAGAGGATCGTGAATAACGTTCTGTGCAAGTTCATCATGACCTTCCGCCATTTTTCAGGTTTGGAAAAGCGTTCAACGTCCTTCCAACTTAATCGATGGTATGCATTGGAACCCGCATACGAATTTTTTTTGCACACCACAAGACGCCGGCGTTGTTAAGGACGCTAGGTTTTGAACAACAAGCAATAAACTTCCTACTGCGAAAAGCAATTATTTTCTTCACCGTTTGGTCCAGCCAGCAGTGGTCAGTTATTCGATAAAGCGTCACATTTTTAAACAAAATTAAGGTGGCATCTGGCGATTGAGTAATTAGAGAAGAGATTACAATTCAACATATGCGAGAGATTTGCGTGGCCTACGACTCAAGCGTTGTCTTTCTGGTCTTTGCCGGTATGAAAATGTAGCGTAGTTCCATACTGTATTGAATGTACTTATTGAAGGTCGCAGAACTCAAATAGAATCGGACGAATGTTGCTAGATAAAAGCGTTGATTCAAAATATTTATGTAAAACCCGCAGTCCTTGAACACAAAGATGGATGACATAGCAAATTTCAATCATCGATCTCCCAGGCTTTGTCTGCGCAGATTCAACGATTTTTTTGGCGTGAGTTTGATAAAATGCAGTTTTCGCAGTGAATCGTGTGTTATTCACGTGCTGGTGTGTTGTACTCGTATTCTTATGGCATCTCTCTGATGGAATCTTGTACATTCAACGCACTATAGTTAAAAATTTAACCAAAACAATGAAAATAATAATTGACTTTTTCTATTTTTGGAAGTAGTGTGACATTATGATTTGACCTCTGGTCGAAAAAAGCCAGCATCCATTCTTGAGATGATGGTGAAGGACGGTGTATGCGTCGGGGTAGTTTAGATGACATTACGAGAAGAAGAAGGTCTTCCTATGCCTTCAAAATGTTTCTGAGCCTAACGATATTAGCGGGGCTTCAACGCGCGCGAAGTGCGCGTGGGACAGAGCCCCTTACTCATTAACCTGAGATCAGGCCCAGGTTGAGCGGTTCTCATACATTCTCTCTAACGGCTACCGCTGAAATTGGGCCTGATACAAACTCATTCACGTTTGTGCTCGTTACGGCCAGGTTTTGGCCGTAACGGTGATTGGCTGTTAGAACAATGCCACAAGATCTGATTGGCTGTCGGAAACGCCGGAAGTTGAAAGCGCTTATTCCTCGCGTGGTTGTTTTCGTGAATGATCCGTCGTCTGCGGAGACAAGGATCGATTTTGTTGTCTTTTTTATTGTTTTATGGTCTTATGGTAGGAAAATATGCCTTAGTATGTGCCATGGAAATTCAGAAAATTCATATGGTTGTTTATATCTTCTCAGGATTTGCTTTATTTACGGAAAGTGAGTGTATCGCGGAGTTGAATCCCTCTGCAAGTTGCTGACCGCTAATAACAAGGTGCCTTTTGATTTACCAAAAAACGGGTGCAAATCAAAATACTGTCCATATTAAAACTGGTTTCATTTGAAAGTTTAGCCGGGAATGACTCCTCTGAACGGGGTAGGCAAGCGGAGGCTCACTGCGAAAGAAACCTCAATCGCCAAGTGTGAAGTATTTTAATAGACGAAAAATATCGCATCGCTGTTCAAGGAATTTTCAGTGTTCACAGACTGGTTGTTTGCCTTCGCTTTTTGTAAAGCATAAACCAAGAAAACTGGTGTCCTCGCTCGTTGGCTGTTTGCTTTTGTTTTTAAAGATTTATGTACTGAAAATCGGGGGAAATTGCCGAGGAAAATATTAAGAATATTAAGGATGAAACAACAACAACATGTTATTAATTTGAAGAGGACTCGGAAAAAAATCCGAGTCCCAGGTGGGATTACTTAATCCCACCTGTCCCACCTGGGACTCGGATTTTTTTTATTTATTTTTTTTCCGAGTCCTCCTCAAATTAATAACATGTTGTTGTTGTTTCATCCTTAATATACTCACTTTGGAGGTTGGTTGGCCGCATCTTGGATATGCTTTAAGGTGACAGCGCGATGCTGTTAGTGAGTTCTTCACTTCTTGTGTGCCAGTCATTGCTTGGCTGTGTAGCCGCGTGATGCGGTTCCAGTCGAGACCCACAAATTGGCCCTTGCTCACATAGAGTCTCCAGTAGCTCAAGTGGTTAGAGCATCCGACTAGATCACGGAGGGTCGTGGGTTCTAATCCCACCTGGGACTCGGATTTTTTTTCCGAGTCCTCCTCAAAATATTAAGACAACGGAAAAATAGAGATTTCAATATTTCAAATTCCAGAGCGCCTAGCCAAAATAATAAAACTAGTAGAACTGATCGTGCATAAAATTAACAGATAAAAGCTATTTTTTGAAGTGGCTCCGTAATAAATACAAGAGCATTTAGCTGTGTCAAATTTTCCGTCATAACTTTTTCGATTTTAACGCGATGGCTGCGAAACTTTGCAAAGAACAACAGATATCATTCGGCAATAATACGAAATATTCCGATTTCATTGAAGGTAAATATTTCTTGAGAAATTAGCGCTTAAAAGGACCCTACTGACGCGATTTTCTTTCAACAGTAGGGTCCTTTTAAGCGCTAATTTCTCAAGAAATATTTACCATCAATGAAATCGGAATATTTCGTATTATTGCCGAATGATATCTGTTGTTCTTTGCAAAGTTTCGCAGCCATCGCGTTAAAATCGAAAAAGTTATGACGGAAAATTTGTCACAGCTAAATGCTCTTGTATTAATTACGGAGCCACCTTAATTAAGCCATCCATTTTGCCCACGCGTGAAAAATTTGCATACTAGGGAAAACAAGCAACGGAAGTAATTCTGATTGGCTGATTCGGCAAATGTCAATCAATCAAAAAAGTGGGCGGTAGACGTTTCGTAGAAGGTTTGTATCAGGCTCTTTTTTCGTTTCGCCTTGCCCGGTGGAATGTAATTTTCAAAGCGAAACGAAAATAGAGCCTGATCTCAGGTTACATACTCATGGAATATGGTCAACCTCTTTTCGTTTGGTTGTCACGTGGTTGATCGAGCGTACGTACCAGGGCGGATAAATGTTGGGTGGTGAAACGAGCGCGCCGTTCTTCATTTAATGTGTGATGCGGAGTAGGACTGGCACGAGCGCTCTTTCCGCGCTTCCGGTGTTTATATCAATAAACAGTTTCATATGTTTGTGTCTGTATGCCTATAAGTCAAACTTGTTGGTTGTACAATGCCAAAATTTGAGTTTAATTTGAAAGTGATGAATTCCTCTTCCTTCCACTAAATATCACCTAATCGTCTTTCGCCGTTTCGTTTGCAAAAGCTTAACACTTCTTAACCTGATTTTTTACATATGTTAAAGGGGGATAAATTTTACATAACATGACAAAAAACTAGATTGATATATTTTCATCATCCTTCCTTTTCTTTTGAAAAAAACATCTCATACGTCTTTCTGTTTCTTCGACATATCAAAATTACTTTTCCCTCAGTTTTTACTGTTTACCTTGTTTTGTTTTAGAGAAAAAAACGGAGAAAAAACCCTTTCTTGTATCGCCTTTCACAACAGATAACTTCTACCGCATGTTGAATGAAAAAATAGTGAATATATCCTCGCCAACCTAATTCTTCTATTGCCTTGGAACAATATCGCCCATCTTCACCACTTCGATCTTTAGTTTTCGACTCAGCTAAGGTCCTCCTTTTCCTGATTTCTCTAAACAACTTGTCTTGGAGATTTCTTCTTAAGGATGTTCCAAATTTCGCCATTGAAAATGAACAACAAATTTCAAGGGTTTCATCCTACATGTATTTTGTTTGGGTGAGCTTCAATGAAGTGAAAAAAGCTTATTTTCAAGATCAATACAGACGTTTATTTTAGCTATAGTAATAGCAAATGAGCAGGACACAAATCATCTAAATGTAAACTAAAGATGTTGTGTTTGAAAACAAAAAAAATGTAAATCTCATCTTTGGCCACTGCTGTTGCTTCAACCATCCTATCCATCTTGTAAGTACAATAATTGAAATGCAGCAACATCTAAACAAAGTAAACAACAGAATACATGTCAAGATTACATGCAGAGTATTTGATCCATCCTTAAATAATAAAACAAGAGTTACATATGTAATGATGCAAACCACACAAAAGGATTCATTTTTTAAAATAATTGATTCAAACATTGAAATATATGGGGGTATGGAAACCGGTCATTCGATTCAAAGTCGTTTTGATACGAACTCAAGCAGTGGAATTTTGCAAAAAGTTTGATCACTTCAAAAAACGTTTGCATTTGAACAAGAAAAACATTTTGGGTTTTTCATTCTTTAAGTCACGTATGTGAAACTATTTACCGGTACATACATGGACTTAAATTATTTGATAATTGAGTAAACTGTAACTGTTGTTGTTGTTGGTACACCTCGAAGGAACGAAGTTGTATCGAAACAACTTGCATGTAAAAGGACTTTGGATCAAAACAGCCAGTAACCATATGATGGGGGTATGCTTACCCAGGGATGATGCTACGGAAAAGATAAGCAGGCCTTTTTAGTAGTCAAGCTCACTTTTTTACTCGACTCTATCAGGGGTTCCCAACGACGGTTTCCTCCTAAATGCATTGAAAACACTTTTTAGGCTATCCAGGACACTTTTAGATCTCTAGAAATATATTCTAAGTGACGCTAAAAATTTTTCATCTGTTCAGTCGTCCTAGGGCAACTTGAATCTTTCCGAAATTATAGGGGCTTCAGTATTATTCTCCTGAAAATTTTAGCTGCAATTTAAAGTTTTACAAAAGTAAGAATTTTTCTGATTCCTCTCTGCATCGCATTTTTTATTTCAAAAATTTTAGGTTTCCTTTCTAGCTCTTTCTCTACGAAAAATAGCTTAACCTGGGGAGTGAAATGGGAAAAATCAAAGTTCAGAAAATCGTAGGGAATTTATTAGATAAGCTTCAAAAATTGTACATTAACTTTCCTCGAGACGTCCCTGCTTACCCTGACATGATTTTGATCAAT